TGGTGCTTGCCTTTTCACTTTTTTGTCATTTGAAAACTAGTTTTTAATTTTGATCAAGTTAGATTTATCCATTTTAATTTCATAATTAATGATTTTTGTGTCCTAAGAAATCTTTACCTACTCTAAGGTCATGAGGCTGTTCATGGTCTCTTTCGTTTAGTTGATCAACATCTGTCTCTCAGCCAATACCAATGTGTCTCAATTACTGTAGCTGTATAATAGGACTTAATATCAGGCTAAGTGAACTTCCAATTTATTCTTCCCTTTCAAGGTTGTTTCAGCTATTCTAGGGCCTGTACTTTTCCATTAAGTTTTGGAGTAAGTCTCCAAAAACCTTGTTGGGACTTTGATAAGAATCGAATTGAGCTTTCAGATCAATTTGGAAAGAATATCTTTACTATGTTGAGTCTTCTAATACATGAGTATATCTCTCCACTTATTAAGGTCTTTTTTTTTAATCAGCATCTTGTAACCATCAGCATGTTTTCTTCATACCCAGATATTTCACTTTCTTTTTGTGGTAATAAATGATATATTTTTTAAATTTCCATGTGTTCATTATTAGTGTATAGAAATGTGATTGGCTTTTGTATTTTTATCTTATATGCTATAACTTGCTTTATTAGTTTTAGAAGTATTTTCTATAGATTACTTGGGATTTTCTGCATAAACAATTATGTCATGCCATCTGCAAACAAATAGTTTCACTTCTTTACTCTGATCTGTGTGTCTTTTATTTCTTTTGCTTGTCTTATGACAGCCATTAGAACTTCTAATTCTATGCTGACTAAGGATGTGAGAGTGGACATTCTTGACTTTTTCCCAGTCTTGGAAAACATTGAGTCCATCACTGTTGTATAACATTAGCACTAGGATTTTGTGGTTGTATGTTATCTTTATCAAATTGAGGAAGATCTCCTCTCTTTGTACTTTGCTGAGAGTTTTTATTATGAATTAATGTACCATTTTGTCAAATGCTTATTTCGAATCYATTAACATAATCATATAATTTTTTCTTTAATGATATTGTTAAATATTAAAATTATTGGGGCTGAGGTTGTGGCTCAGTGGTAGAGTGCTCACCTAGCATGTTCTAGGCACTGGGTTTGATCCTCAGCACCACATAAACATAAAATAAAGATATTGTCTACCTAAAACTAAAAAATAAAATATTAAGATTATTAAACCTGCTTTACACACCTGGAATGACTCCCACTTGATCATGATGTATAATTTATTCTATACTTTTCTATATTTAATTTATCAATACTTTGTTGAGTTTTTTTTTTTCTTTTTGGAGGGAGGATAGTACTGGATCAAACCCAGAGCTTGAGCATGCTAGTCAAACGTTCGACTGCCAAAAATTCCCAGTGAAAATTTTTAATTTGTGTTCATAAGAGGTATTTGTCTACACATTTCTGTTTTTCTATCATCCTCTGGTTTTGGAATTAGAATAATACTGGCCTCATAAAATTAGTTAGGAAGTGTTCCTCTTCCATTTGTCTGAAGGAGATTATTGTAAAATTTTTATTCTTATTCCCCTTTAAATGTTAAGAGTCTCTAGTGATACCATCTGGGAATGTAAATTTCTTTTTTTATTACAAATTTAAATTAATGGTTATAGGACTGTTGGGTTTTGGTGGTTTGTGTTGTTTAAGGAGTTGATCTATTTCTTCTAAGATGAAAACTTTTTTGTTCACAGTATTCCCTTATATCATTAGAATAGCTTGCAGGATCTATAGAGTTATTACCTGTTTCCTGTTTAATAGTAATTTATCTTCTTTTTATCTTTGTAAGTCTTTGAGGACATCAGTTTTATTGATCTTAACCCTAATGATGTTTTTAATTTTGTTGATTTCTACTCTTTTTCTATTCTGTCAAACATTTTCATTTCCTACCAGTTTATGTCTCAGCAGCTTCTGTCCAGGTAAGCAGATCTTAGCTGTGACTTCTCTATTCACTGTCTCTAGATTTTGAGGTGGCACTTTATTGTACAATTTCAGTTCTCCAAAGGGATTAAGAAAAATTGTTGATTTTCAATTCCTTCAACATATATTTCTTGTGAAAAACAGACCGCCGGCTCTTTACGTGTCCAAGATGAAACCAGACATCTCATTTATAGATCAGTTATTTCAATTTGTTGAAGTTTATTTAATAGACCTATATATAGTAAACCTTCGTGATTATTTCATAGGCATTTGAAAAAAATTATATGTTTTACAAATGCTATTGAGTGTAGTATTCTAAATATGTCAATTAGATCCTTTGGTTTATTGTATTACTCAGTTCTTCAATACCTATACTGATTTTTTTATATAGTAGTTCTATCAGTTCTAATTGTAGGTTTATGTATTTTTCCTTTTGGCTCTATTTTTAACAGCTTTCTTGAAATTATTCAGATATTCTACAGTTTTACCAATTTAAAGTATACAATTCAGTATATATATAGTATATCCACAAGTATATGCAACCATCACCACAGTCCATTTTAGAACATTCTGTCATTCCTAAAAGAAAACCTGGTACTTTTAGCTGTTAGTCCTCTGTCCTCCCCCATGACATATCCAGCTCTGAACAACTTTTTCTCCACTTTCTGTCATTATAGATTCCCTATCCCAGTCTTTTGACTTAAGGGAACATACTTTTTCTGGAGATTTTTTGTTTGTCCTTGTGGGTGGTTCTGAATTGGAGGTTTCTGCTAAGACACATGAGGTAATAAGGTAATAATATCTAAGACCTGACAGCCCAGAGAACTTACCCTTGCTGTGTTGTTGCTCAAGTCCCAAGGTCCTTATGTTATCTGCCTTCATTCTACATTTCAGAGTCATCCTAAACTTGTTTGTTGTGCTATAACTAGGATGTTTAAGTTATAACATGGAAGACTAGAGGAAATGGTGATATTCTATCTTGACAGAATCAAAAGTCTCCACTGAAATASATATTGCCAGCACAGCCCAAAGGGACCCATCAAATGTCTGTCTTTCTTTATAATGGACAGTTCTGGCTACACTCTTCTTTCCCATTTAATACCTTACTATGTATCAGGTTTCAAACATTTGCAGGTTTATTTCTGACCTCTAGTAGGCGTGTCTTAAAACTTCAAGGGTGCTTGCTCCTTCCATTTGGTATTCCCCTCACCAGTACATATCTTAATGCTTTAGTGAAAGGAATCTCTTGACCCTTTTGGAGATTTTTCAGGTGACTGAGGAGGATACTCTAAATTGGGTCCAACCCAATGTTCCCATAGCCTCAGCCATGTTCCTCATTGCATCATAAAATGAGTATCCTTTTAGGCCACCATATCATAAGTCTATGCTCTCCTGTCTCTAAAGTCTTCAGGAAAAGATCCAGCATTTGATCTCATTGACTATAGCCCTCTACTGAGTCAAGGCTATTGTTATTCATTCCCAGGTGCTTGAGTAACATATTAAATCCTGAGGCCTAGGTGAAATACCCTTGTTTGGCCTGATCCAACCTTCTATTTATTCTCATTGGCTAATGTACTTAGAATCTGTTTCCACATTTGCTTTCCAGGTTCCTTCTAATATATTGTGACAAGATCCTGTGACTTCTTCATTGTATACATTATCTCCTCCAGGAATAGACCTTACAAGATCTCTGGGTCATGCTGGGATTTTACTCTCTTGATGGCCATAGAGGCAATGAGTATTGGTGATGGTGGTTCCTGAAAAGAATAGGTTCTTCATTTTTAGGTAGCCACCCTACATGTAGCCATTAAAATATTTTTATGCAAAGGAATACTGGTTTTCTTACAAGGCAGAAAATGCTGCTTCTGATATGAAAAGATGTTCAAAGATGTTAGAGGCTCAAGGTCCTTAGATTGGTGTCTGTCCAAAGGCTTCTCCCTCAAGTCTCAAGTTCCCACTACCTCCCAACCAGCACCTTTATCTTAGCATAGAGATTTCGCATAAGCATCCCATTACCTGGCTGATGATTCTGCAGCCTCTACTTTTCAGGCCTCAGCCATGTTCCTCATTGCATCATAAAATGAGTAGCCTGAAAGGTCAGGCAACCATAGAAACTTTCTGATTTTCTACCTATTCCTTGAGTTGAGATTTCAAGGCATGAAGCCTGCCCCTCCCCTCCCTGTCTCTCTCTCCTTGTCTCCCTCCCCTCACCCCCAATCTTGTCAACACAGTCAGAAGCCATGTCACCCAAAAAGACTGATTCACCATGATGGCCATAGTCATCAGGTTCCCTAGCCACTTGCTCTCCTGTGCCTTATTGTCCATTGCCATTTTATTTGATGCTTTGAGTAACTGCAATGCAACAGAATGCTCTACCAATTAGTAGGGTAGAGTCTGTAGAGATCACTTTCCTAGGCTACACAAATAGGCAGAGACTGGATTAAGGGGTGAGGAATAGAAAACACTTAGCACAGTAGCCTCTTTTCCCCTCACCAGAGGATGGCACTTCTGGTGGGAACACCTAACACCTGGAGCTGTCCAGAGGGTGTCAGAGGCCTCCAGGCAGAAGTCTCCAAATAGGAGTTTGAGAAGGGATTCCTCTGGTATGTGGGAATACCTTGAACTGTGTTAACAGATTCTGAAATTATTTCCATGAACAATGTATGGGAAAACCTTTGTTAAAATTATGTTAAGCTCTGCAGTATGTATGTATTCTAGCTAAATGGGTTTCTGTTGTATGATTTTAATAATGTACTACAAAATCTGATTGCACTGTTAGTTCTACTAAGCACAGTTCAGAACAGGATATGGAAGAAGGCTAATTATTCCCCAGCAGTGAGGTTAGGGATAGTATGTCATCAGAACACCACTAATAAAACAAGCACACACATGCACACACATGCCTTACCTGATGACAGCTCAGTTTTAAAAGGAAATTTGTATTTCTGTAATGCAGTCTGTTGACCATGCCCAATCATTTATTTGTAACAAAGAAAGACTGTCTCCAGTGGAAAGAATCCAGAGACTTTAATCTTGAACTAACAGTGTTCTCTCTCCTTTCTCCCCTTCCAGGAGGACAACTGTTAGTTTTGTGGCTTACTGCTGCTCCACCCACTGTCTGCAGACTTTTGACCTGCTGAGTTGATAAACACTCAAGAGCCTCAGGAGCACTGCCGGCTTGACACCAAGGCCGCCTCTGAGTTGCACACTGTGTGCGGCARGGCTTGGATAGTCCAACCAGGGCAGAACAGGCCCTTCCATCCTGTCCTGTCTCATGCGGGGGCATGCAGAACTCTCTGGAAATGTCATATTGAGCTGCACAGCTAAAACGCCTTCACCCTTCCCCCAAGTTGGAATATATCCTCCCCCAAATTAAGGACATCCTGTCTTCTGTGTTTTTTTCCTTTTATGTGAGTGTGTCTCATACGTAAACTATTTAGTTTGATGAACCTCCACACGTCTAATTTAAAGTGAGTTCCCTGAAGAACTATTATTTGATAATACAGGCAAATTAACTTTTGAACAGCTTACCTTCAGTGATACTTCTCCTGCTCTCTTTCTTTCCCCCAGAGGATTATTTCCCCATGCGATTATTCTCCATGGTTTCTCCAGTGGAAACTTGTCAGTTTTTAGCATCTCATCACACTCCATGGCCTAATAGTCTCGCATACCAGGGTGGGGTGCCTGAGTTGGCGGCAAAGTTAGACTCCTGTGGAGGCGCAGCAAGATCCCAGAGCACACACCCTCTGGAAAGTTACAACCTTATTTGTAAGTTTTGCAATGTATTAAGAGACCATCAAGAGGGATTTAAAAACGAAAATGAAATACACTCTGATTTGAAAGACTATATACAAAAAAATAATTTAAAAAATGTTTTAACTTCCTAATGAGATTCTTTTTTAATAAATGAGAAGCTCAAGAAATATTTGAGGCTTTAAAAGATCTTATCCTTTCTAGATTTAAGCATTTTTCTGCATAATAAGAAAAGGGGAGAAAACACACACCAAAATAAGACCTCCCTGTTCCCATTAGGTGGGTTTATGATTAAATTCATACTGATTTTGAGCTATCATTGTTACATGTGAAAAAATGGCTTCAGCTACGTCTGCTACTAGTTGTTAGCAGGGCTATCCAAAGTACAGCTTGAGCGCATTATTTACCTAGTGCATGAGCTTGTGTTCATTTTGACTCTGGATTTCTTATATATGTAACATTGTTGTCCAGATATCACTGAGAAAATACAGGTGAAGTCCAAACAGCCTTGGGCTTTGGTTAAAAAAAAAAAAAAAACCTCCATAAACAGCCTGTGAGCCTACCCCTGCCAGAGAGACAAACTCTTCATGGAAGAGTCACGTATTTGCCCTTGCTTTAAAAGAATGGCATTTTAGTGTTACTTTGCTGCCAGATGTTCATCTGGTTGCTGTGAAGTGATTTTTTTTAAAAGAAAAAAAATTGTTCTCTAAGGCAGGACTGAAAAGAGAACCAGGAAGGGTTGCTTGATAGAAAAGTTATTTTCAAAAACTTTCAGACTTGTCAAAAATCTGGTTGATGGCATTTTATTAGCTGCCCTAACTCTGTAATGCTAGGCTCTAACAGTGCCAAAAATCCTACATAGTTACTGACAAATGTGTGATCTCTTTACAGTCACACCACCTGCTGCTCAGAAAGCAGACTATCTGGGGAGAATGGTGAAGGCAGAAAGTTACCATGTGTTCCAACTGTATTCGCACTGTTCTTACTTCCTCTTGTCCCTTTCATAACTTAGTCTGTTCAGCCTTAACATTTCAAAGGCCTAAAGTATAATAGAAACGGAAGATCTGTATCAAAATGTACCACTTCTTTCATCTTTTGGAATAATTGAAGTTTTAGCAAAATCCCTACTTGTATGTAAGTTGACGGGTGAGAAATGTGGCATGAAACTTCACAAATGTGCTTCAAGCCTTAGTGACTGATACCTGTTATTTAAATGACAGTAAATATATTGCTACATCTTTCTGTTTCACCCTCTGCCATCATATATCTTAAAATGGAGCCCTGAAATGTGCTAACCTGATATTCAGGAATTCTCATTGAGATAAAGTATGTAATAATCTTGTTTTAACATGTTTGCAATTTTACAAAGACACTTAGACTCCAAGCATCCTCTCTTTACCTGTTATAAACTGGAGTGTGTTGAATATCAGCCTTGGTGGGGCAGCCATCTTTGGGCAATCTCAACCTTAACCCTGGGTTGCAGCATCTGGGTTTAATTGATGAGAAAGGGAACTTATAACATGGTTTCCCTGGTGCTGTTCATTACAGAAATTTTGTGCTGGATTCACTGATGTCATTCCCAACTTTGATATTATAAAGGAGTGTTGTCAACTGGAGAAAATTTGACTACATGCTGTGTATTTGAATTTTGTCCAAACCTTTGCAGAAAGGCAAATCTAAAATTATTATGTATGTTATTTACTTTTTTTTAACAGTGCTGGGGATCAAGCCCAGGTCCTCGTGTTTGCTAGATAAATGCCCTTACCATTTGTTGTTGCCTTGAGCAGTAGTTATTCTAAGTAGAAAAATACTTCATGCAATAATAGTAATTTTTTAAAGTGAGCCACTTGGAATGTAGAGTCTGTTCAGGTAAGTTTACAACAGTGACCTCATGTGTGGTTGGCTAGTGGTAAGTTTTAAAATCCAGGATGGCCTCATGAAACAGGTCATCTGGGAAGCAGTACCAAGGGGTCTACGTCACTGCATCACTCTACCAGTGCTTTTCAGTATGCCTAATGGTTATGCCAGAAATCTTAACTATAATATTGTGTAGATGAAATGCTACATCTTCAATTAATGTGTATTTTGAGTGCACTTTAAAATATTTTTAAATATTTTAATAGAGAGGACCAGAAAGGACTGGTGGAGGATCCTCTCTGGCTACTAAAAATGATTAGTGATCTTGTTTATTATCTGGCCCTCGTCTTCTGGAAGAGTGAGGGGCATATTAAACTTTCTTTGGTCAGTGTATTCATCTCTCACTAAATCCTTCCACACTCTACTTGTCTGACTATCTCACATTCGTTTCACATTGAGTATTACATATTAAAATGTTTTGGGGTCTAAGGGGAAAAAAATAAGAAGAACTTCAACACCAGTTGACTGCATGTAGTTTTGCCTAAAACATATACCTATTTCATAATCTCTGGGAACTTTCAAAGGCAGTTTTTAAAATTATTAATACTAATGTTTAGTTTTCCTTCCTTAAAAAAAATGACTTTTTTTTTACTATTAAAAAAACTTAAACCTAGTACATTGCTTCATCAGAAATCAAAACATTTTTATTCAGATGATTTGTGAACATGGACACTTAACTGGACCAACATTAATACAACCTAGTATAATTCAATATTGAGATGTAAATTCATTGCATAGACTCATAAACACTCTTTGACAATCTTATTTAAATGCTTTCTTACATAACCCCGACCATTTTATTATGCTTTTATTTTTGCAATTTCCATTCACTCCTGCTTGTTCCTAATGAGGCTCTTTTACATTTCTCCAAGAGCTCAGTGAATATCTTGCCTTTTCTTCAGAGAAGATTTTTATGAAATCTGTGCTCATGAAAATAGCTCCATATCTGTCTAGAAAATCACTTAAGTCTCACYGTCTCTACCCAGGAAGTACCTCTCTATGTCATCAGCTAATAGATCTGAAAGTAATGCAGGTGTCTCTTAGGAAAGGGATTGATCATAGCAGAGTGACTGTTATCCTCAGTCAGAAAAAGAGCGTGCTTCACAGCCTAAGATGTGCTCTTTGAAGCATGACTACATGGTCTTTCGTACTTCAGACACAGAAAAGCACTGGCAGCCCAGAGTGGTGGCTAAGCAGAAGGTGCAGCATTTGGAGGTCATTTTTAAATGCAATTAAGAAACCTGCAAGAGTTGTTCTGTTTTCTTTCCCATTCCACCTTACAGTAAAGTATGGGTTATCCTTGCTGCCTATGTTAAAAAGCATCAGGTTTTGTTTCTTCTGGTGATTGAAGATATATGTGTCTGTAATGAAAAGATTGTCTAACATTCTGATTCTGCCATCCAGAAGTTATGGCAATGTCCACTTGGAGTATGGCCATTTTCTAAAATTCATACTGCATCCAGTCTGGTTGCATGTTTATAGAATAATTGAGTTTGAGCCATACGAATGCTCGGAAATGTCAGTGGTGGTATCTTTATTGTTTTATCCAAATTCATTCTGTAGGAAAGAAAAGAGAGCATTAGATATTTAAATCAAAGCCAGTGAAAATGGTTGAGGAAGGACCTCTGAACACCTTTCACTCACTGTCAAAGCAAGAAGAAATTGGCTCAAAATGTCAGAATTCACTTTTTTTGGAATTCTGGAAACTAACCAAGGGCTGCAGCAATCCAAGGAGTACTTATTAATTCAAGAAAAACAACTGGATCACAGCATGAACAGTGAGCTTTGTGGTGTTTTAACTTCCTCTTTTTCCATCCCCTTTCCATCTCCACTGGCTCCTTGAAAACCAACAATACACAGTGGTGTATAACAGTAGCCTGGAAGCCACCAGAGGGGGCAAAGGAGGACAGAGCTCCTTTAAAGCCTCATTTCCACAGAACTGTCATTTGACCTGTTGGGCAGTTCTCTGGAAGATATTACTTGCCRGACTGTCTTTATTTTACGGGATTTGAGTTTGTCAAGTGTGAAAAGCCTTTTCCTCTGGAACATTTGCTGAAAAATACTCAGGAGATAATTAACATGTGACTGCCTGGAGCAGCACATAATCCTTGCAGTGAACAATAGGCTAACCAAAACCTTAAGAAGAAAAGCTGGGGAATGAGGTGTCAGAGGAGTTTTGAAAAGCTCTGGTATTCTGGGGGTTAGATGGTCATGCACGTGTGTAGAGCTTTGCACTTACCAATGTATGTACCCTTGCTCAGGAAAGACCTGATAACGTCCTGAACTCTGAACTTAAGTTGACCTTGTGGTTCTGCACAAGAAGAAAGTGAAGCCGAAAACAGCTGTCACCTTTCCTGCTGAGTGTCGCAATGTGTGTACAGCCCTCTGCACAGACTGGGAAACTTACTGGTTTCAAGTCGGGAAATCTCTGCTAACCTACCCAAGCAGAGACTTCAATGTTCATGTATTGCAAAGAATATAGACTACTGAATTAGTTCAGAAAATTCACTAAAATAAAAAGCAGCAAGTACAGCAAACTCTTAAAATAGAGGTAAGTAAATATGATTTTTACAGTTACTACATATTATTTAAATCATCCAGTTTTACACAAAAAAATTATGAAGCATGCAAAGAAACAAAGTACACAGGAATAAAACACTAACTGCACCCAAGGAAATATAGACATTGGACTTGTAGACAAAAAAGACTTTTAAGTCAGCTTCTTTAAATATACTTAATGAAATAAAATCCATGTCTAAAGAACTGAAGTATGAAAATGATGTCTCACCACATAGAAAATAATGATTAAATAATAGAAATAAAATAACCAGGGGCTGGGGTTGTAGTTCACAGTAGAGCACTTGTCTAGCACATGTGAGGCAGTGGGTTCAATCCTCAGCATCACATAAAAATAAATTTAAAAAGGWATTGTGTCCATCTTAAACTAAAAATATTTTTAAAAATTAAAATAACCAAATGTAAATTCTTAAGTTGAAAACAATAACTGAAATGAAAAAAATTCATGAGAGGTACTCAATAGCAGATTTGAGCAGGGAGAAAAATAGCAAACTTGAATAGAAGTCCATTGAGATGATCCATTCTGAGGTACAGAAAGGAAAAATAATGAAAAATGAATATAGCCACAGAGACCTGTGGAACACTATGAAGCATACTAATGTATGCATGATTGGAGTCTTAGGGAGAAAAGAAAGTGGCAACATGAATATTTGAAAAGATAATGGTTAAAGACAAGTTTGACTTAAAAAAAAAAAAACATTGATTTGCACACACAAGAAGCTTAATCACAAGTAGGAAAAACTCATAAATATCCATGACAGGACATGTAATCTTGAAAGCAAGGAAAAAGTGACTCATGTATGAGGGATTGTCATCAGAAGTAATGGAGACTAGGGCAGTRGAATGCCATATTCAAAGTGCAGAAAGTAAATAATTATCAAATAAGAATTCTATACCCAGGAGAACTATCCTTCAAAATGAAAATGAAATTAGAACAGTCCCAGATAAACAAAAACAGAATTCTTCACTAACAAGTCTGCCTACATGAAATAATAGACTCTATCAGGGTTAAATGATATTAAAATAGACAACAYAAATCTATATGGAGAACTAAAAGGGAACTGG